AGGAGACTTCTCTGCAAGGCACCGCAGCCCCCCCACGTGGCAGCTCCTCTCCCCGCCCCCCAGGACCCCCCCCCCGCAGCTTACCCCTGCCCCCGCCCCAGGCAGGTCCCCCCTCCACCTGGCAGCCCTCCCTTCCTGACCTGACAGCTTCCCCCCATCCCTGCAGCTTCCTCTCCTCACCTGGCAGCCTCCTGCGCCTGGGAGCTCCCCCTACACCTGGCTGCTCCCCCACCCCATGGGGCAGCCCCTCCCCCACCCGGCACCTTCCCCTCCCCCCACCAAGCAGGTGCAGACTTCTTAGTTTTGCTGGAGGCCAGGCCACGGGCGGGGGGAGAGGCACAGCGCACAGGAGGGGCCCCCTTCTGTAGCGCCCGGCACCCCAACAGCCTGTCTCCTTCCTGCTGGGTCCCCAAGCGGGCTCCCTGGCCCTCTCTGAGGCACGCCCGTGCGGGTCGACACGCCCGTGCAGGTAGGTGTGCAAGCTGGGCTCTGCCGCATGTGTGAAGATAAAATATCACTAGAGACCTTCAATGCTTTAAAAAATCTTGAGTCTTTTCATGAGTAAGTGGCCTGAGTTCAAGTTGGAGAGATGGAGTCTTTCTCCTCCTTTTTTTAAAAAATATAATTTATTGTCAAATTGGCGAACATACAGTGTGTACGGTGTGCTCTTGGTTTTTGGGGCAGATTCCTGGGATTCATCGCTTACCTACAACACCAGTGCTCATCCCAACAGGTGCCCTCCTCCGTGCCCATCCCCCCCCCCAGTTTGTTCTCTGTATTTACGAGTCTCTTACGGTTTGCTTTTCTCCTTTTTGAACGGGAAGCAGGAGAACCGAGGAGGGAAGAAGCCAGTCCGGATCTTGAAGCTAAAAGTTCTGGACTGGGGCTCCGTGGGGCCCCCACTCACGTCTCAGGAAAAGCACCGTTTAGTGGGTCCAACCATGTGCCAGGCGCTTGGCGTCTATTCCTCCACGAATCCTTATAAAAAGCGGTGCCAGTTCAGTGGCTCACGTTGGCCACACTTCAAATTGCCTAGAGAGCTTAGAGGGGGCTGAGGAGTGGGCTCTCACCACACACAGGTCAAGGGACCCTTGGCATTTGTCTAAAGTTCCCCCATGTGGTTCTCATGTGGAGCCCAGGCCTTGAACCGCTGGCTTAGCCTGGGGGCCCTCAAACTTGGGGACATGTCAGAACCACCACGGGGCACATTAAAACACAGATCCCGCGGACCCATCCCGGAGTGTCTGGGTCTGCGGATCTGGGCTGGGGTCTGGGAATCGGCATCTCTCACCAGTTCCCAGTAACGCGGGTGCTGCTGGTCCAGAGGACACGGTGAGAGAGAACTGTGGCGCCGGGGCGGTGCTGGCGGGGGCGGTACAGAAACGGAGAGGTGAGGCGTCTCAGGACACCCCGCTGGCACCTGGGGACGTGGGCCTTTGAGTCCTGAGCCGAGTGTGCCTTCACCCTCTTCGTCTTCAGCTTGGGGAGAAGAGTACCCCCTCTCTGTAGGTGCTACGTAGGTTCTAGATGGACAGGAGGTTCAATGAGATCTTCCTTCTAGAACAATGCCTTGCCAGAGCAGGCTCAACAGCTCATTATCCTGATTGCGTTACTGTTTCCTGAAGGATCAGCTGGAGAGCAGCCGTCTTCCCAGGGGAGCCAGGCAGCTCTCTCTGAAGCACCCCCACCCGATGTCTGCGCGCCTCTGTGCCTCTCCCCGCCCACGAGCATGGAGCAGAGCACCGGGTCTGGAGCCCCGCGCCCCCCCCGGAGCTGGGAACAGGAGCCGGTGCGGGAGACGGCGGGGGCTGCTTCCCCGTCTCAGGGTGTCCCTGTTGTGAGTAATCCTGTGCCGCAGACCCGAGCGTGTTTACTATCACCCCCCGCAACGGGAGCGCCGATGCCGGACCCACGCACCCGCCCCGCACGGCCACCCCAGTGGGCACGATGCCGTCCCTGTGGACCCCCGAGACTTCTGTCCAGCGAGGGTGCCGGACTGCAACTTGCCGCCCTTCCTTCCCACGCGTCCCCAGCTCTTTCTCCTGCACGCGAGCCCCGGGGTCCCTGACTTGGTCACTAAGGAGGGTGAGCACAGGGCGCGGCTGGGGCTGGGTGTTGGCTTCCCTCCATCCTCCCCAAGTCCCCCGCTGCCTTCCCCGGGCCCAGCCACCAAGGCCTGCCCGGCTCCCACAGCAGCCGGACAGATGGCTCTGAAACGTTGCCGCTCTGAGTCCCCTGCTTGAAACCCCCAGTGACTCTGTGCCGGCCTGTGAATAATGAATCAAGCCGCTGCCTTCCTCCCGTGAGCGGGGACGGTGGCTCTCAGGCTCTGACCCCCTCCCCCCGACAGCTCTTCCCACCTTGCCCACGGTTGGCTCATTCCCTGCTCACAGTCACAGTGCCTTCGTGACCCCGTCATCTCCGGGTGGTGACTGCCCCGTTTTCTCCTGGGTACTCACTACTGTCTGACATGCACTTTCCTCCGGCCCTGCCTGTCTGCAGAAGGACAGGGGCCCCTCACCGGCGCGGGGAACTTGTCTGTCTCCTCCATCGCCGTGTCCCCGTGTCCAGCAATGTTCGTGAGCTGAGTGACCTCAGGGAGTCACCATGTCTCTGAGCTCCGGATTCAGAGAAAGGATGAATCAGTCCTGCTCTTCTGAAAGCTTTGCAGCCTTATCAGGGCAGAGGCAGCCGGCCGACTGTTCTGGAAAAAGCACCGATATGAGGCATCCGCCCGCCGCCCCCCCTCCCCCCTGCATTCCAGGCCTGGACCCTCCCCCCACTTACTTGAGGACCTAAGTCACCAATAACGTGGGCCTCAGTGTGAGCCTGGGTGGTGGTGCAGATGGGCCCCTGGCGGAGAGGCTCTGTCTGTGGCTCTGAGCAGTAACGTGCCCGTGAACCCCGCACACAGACCACAGGTAACACGGGACGGTGGAAAGAAGGCCGCCTTGGGGGCTGGGATCTGGTGCCCGACACGCTCTGGCTGGGTGAACTTGGCCATCACTGCCCGGAGTCTGTTTCCTCACCTGTTCCCTGGTGAACTTGGCCATCACTGTGGAAAGGGGACCATCATATGTACCCCACAGCCTGCTTCTGGGAATTATGCACAATAACCCGCAGCGGCGCCCCTTGCCCTCAGGAGCAGGGCTCCTCCCACTGATCTTCTCCAGGATGCACCAAACCCCAGGGACAGTGTCCGGCATGGGGTATGTGCTCAGTGATTTGTCACAATCAGCTTTCCTTGAGGACAATGCTTAGGGGCTCTCTCTCACTTAAACAAGCAGACAGAGGGGGGAGAGAGCTCAGAGCCTGTGCGGCCCCCCCTTCACGTTACAGCTGGGGAGGGGAGTGGAGGAGGGGGGAGTGGGCTCTAACCTAGGACACAACCCACCTCTTTTCTTGACTGCCGCCCTGCGTTCCCCGCGGGCCACCATGCGCAGCGCGCTTTGTTTGTGGGCCTCTTTCTGGGCCCCCATCGGCCTGCCTCGCCGCCCTCAGCCCTGCACAGACCCCGTCCTGCTCTTCTCTGCTCCCTGTGTCAGACCACGTGCTCCTGCAGCTGATGGCTCCCTTCCCGACTGGGGCCTGAGCCCGAGATTTAGGATCTGACAGGTTGGGAATTTACACCATGGCGGGGAGGGCGAGGGCGCATTCCAAGGGGGGAGACTTCTTAGACATCCGGCCACCCCTGCATCCCGCCCCCCCCCCCCCCAGCCTGGGCACAGACAGCGTGAGCCCCGGGGACGCTATCTGTTACTGGATATGACTTCGGCCTGGGGGGCGGAGTGAGCCAGCAGAAGACGGGGCGCTGGTGCTTGGGGACCGGGGGGAACCTGCACTCTCTCTCCCAAATGTGTGAGGCTTCGCTCCTCTGCCCCGTTAGGCCACCATCTTTCTCCCACTCTGTCTCTGTCCCCCGCCCCCCCCCCCCCCCCCCCATGTGCCTCCCCCCCACCCCCCCCCCCCCCATTCTGGAGCAGAAAGACGTGGCTGGGAGGCAAGTGTGAGAGAGACCTGGAGCCTGAGGATTTTTACGTGATGCAGAGGGCTCTGGGGCAGGGGTGGAGGCAGGCGGGGCAGAAGCTGCGAACCTCGCCAGCCCTCGGCCGCCCCATTTTCCCTGAGGCCGAGGTGGAGCACATGGTGGGTACTCATGGAAGTTTAGACAGTCGCAATCTGTCTAAAGCGGCCCACGACCTTGGGTGGGGGACTCCCCGTGTGCTGAGCCTCAGTTTCCCTCCTCTTTGCTTCCGCCTGTCAGGCTCTGCCCTGGATGGGACCTCGCCCCCCCCCCCAAGTGCTTCCACAGCCAGGTGCTTGTCCTCATGGTCAGCGGCGGCTCCCTTAGTGGCTCTTGGGCTGGGAACACAGACTTGCCCTGCCTGCAAGTCCGGAAACCTCAGGCACAGGCGTGGCTGCCCAGGAGGTTGTGCCCCGGCAGCCACAGGGCCTTTGCACTGCCTAGAAAGTCCCCTAGGTTCTGTCTACGCTGTCACCTCTTTAGAGGCCCCTGCAGGAGAACACCGCACCACTTCCACTCTGGCCTAGCTGTGGCATGGGTGAGGTCTGTCTGGGTGGCCGCGGGCTCAAGGGCCTGGCACCTGGCTGTTGTTGGCCCCTGTGTCCCCGGCGCCTGGAACTGCGGCTGGCCCCGACCAGGCGCTCAGTATCTTCAGGAAGACAGGGAGAGAGGAAGGAAAGAGGGCAGAGAGGAGGGAAGGCGCAGGGAAGGATGAAGGAAGGGAGGAAAGGGCTCCCCGGACCTCTGCCCAGGCCCTGAGCAGTCGGCGCTCTCTCGGCGGGCGCGGGGTCGGCCGGCAGGTGGCGGTGCGCCCTCGGCTGCGCGGGCGGCGCGGCGAGTCCCCTCCTCCCGCCGCCTCCCTCCCCGCGCCGGCTCCTTTCTCTGCGCTCTCGCTCGCGCTCCCCGGCGCCCTCCCGCTCTCCCGGCCGCGGTCTCCGTCGCCCGCCGCCGGCCCCGCCGCCGCCCCTCGGCGACCATGGCGCCCCGGGGGCCCCCGCGCGCCCCGAAGGGCCCCGGCCCCGCCGCCCGCGCCCCGCGCCCCGGGGCTCCGCCGCCGCCGCCGCGTTCTCCGCGCTCGCGGCCGCTCCTGCTGCTGCTGCTGCTGCTGGCCGCCTGCGGGGCGGCGGGGCGCTCCCCCGAGCCCGGGCGCCCGGGTCCCCGCGCGGTGCTGACCCGGGCGCCGCCGAGCCCGCCCGCGGGGCGCGCGCTGCCGGGCGGCGGCGGGGACCGGCGGGCGCGCGGCGCCGAGCCCGGCGCCCCGGGGCTCGGTCCGGCGCCGGGTCCCGGCGAGGACGGCGCCCCCGCCCCGGGCCGGGGGCGCCGGGCGCGAGCGGCGCCCGGGGCCGGGGCGGCTTCTCGGGCGCAGGTCTCGCTCATCAGCACCTCGTTCGTGCTCAAGGGGGACGCGACGCACAACCAGGCGATGGTGCACTGGACGGGCGAGAACAGCAGCGTAAGTGACCTCCGCGCGCCCCCCGCGGCCCCTGCCCCGGACACCTCGAGCCCGCACTTCCGGACCGCCCCGCGGCCACCCCGGGCGTTCTCGGCGACTTGGGGACGCGAGTCACCTCCGCGGCGGCGCCCCTGCTGGACTCTGGACACCGGTTCCTTGGGGGGCAGAGGTCCCCAGATATGTGAGCGCCCGCCGGACAGATTCCCGGGACCCGAGCCACCTCGGAGGCGCCCCCACTAGCTTCCAGATCCCAGGTTACGCGGGAGGGGGTGCCTCCCGCGGCTTCGGGACCCGGGTCACCTCGGGTGCCTCCTGGTCCGTGAGGACCACCTTAACTCGGTGTTGCGCCTCTGCCGCTCTAGGACTCCACCCGGTCTGGTTGCGTTCTGGGATTTTGGCCGCGGGACCCTCTCCACCCTGGTCTCCCCGGGACCTCGCTCCTGGTCTACCCCACGGGCTCCAGGGGTTCCCCAGTTAGCTCGGCGTCCGATTCTGGGACTCCCCCCCCCCCGGATTCCCCTAATGTGACCCGGGGCTGCGCCGGGAAGGGCAGGGATCTGCGTACCCAGGGAGTTGGGCGCCACGCCGAGCTCTGCACCCGCGCCCCGCAAACTCCCTGCCCTCCCTCCACCTTCCCTGCCGCTCTGGAAGTTGGGCTCCCCCTGCCTCGCCACATCTGTTAGGGGCCTGGGCACCGACTTCCTCCAGCGCAGCGCAGTGGTCCCTACCCCTTCGGAGGCGGCCGGTGCTTTTCTGTGTGGGTGGTGCGTGCGGGGGCGTGGGAGTGCGGGGGGGGGGGCGCGGGTGCCTTGGCCTCGCTTTTGCCCCGGGCAGATGACAGTGGTCACGCGCGTCACCTGCCAGCAGCCCTCCTTGATTGTCTCCAGTTTTGGAAGAGCGCAGGGGTGGGGGTGGGTGGCACCTGGTTGTGTGGCCGGTAGAGGCGGGACTGTCCGCTTACTCCCTCCCATCACTCGGGTCTCCCCCAGTGGCTGACCCCCCAGCTCTTCTCCCTGACCACTGCTTCCCTCCCAAGTTACAGGGGGGCAGCTCTGGGCCAGGGCCCCTGCATGCTTTAGGGGTGGAGGGGTGGGATCTGAGTGCTTCCCAATCGAGGAAAGGTGGGTACCAAGGCCTGGGGGGGCACTTTTCCCCCCTGCTTTGCTGCACAGGTGAGGACGCCTGGTCTCCAGCCCCCCCTCCAGTCAGACTAGAAGCTTTGGGTGGGGGGGGGCGGTTGAGTTGCTCCTGGGCACCAGCAGGGGGCGCTCAGGATGCCGGCTGAGTGTGGGTGGGGGTAGGTGCTCCCTAGAAGAGCCCTGAGAGGGCGTCCCCATCTGAATCTTGATGGAGGGGTCATTGGTGACCAAACTTGGTCCCCTGTGCTGTAAGCAGCACAGAGCCAGACCCTCTCAGCCAAGCCCCCCCTGTCCCCCCCTCGTTTGAAGTTGAAGGTCAATTTTGCTTCATGGGGTGGGGGAGGCGGAGGTGGAAGAAGGGAGAGACGGGCACTGAGAGGTGCAGACCAGCCTTGGAAGTGGGACCAGCACCCGGCCCACCCGCCCCCTGGTGACTGCGGAGCCAGCGGGCCATGCAGGTTCCTTGGAGGGAGTGAGGAGGGAGCCTGGGGCTGGGGCGAGGCTGGGGGGCATCAGAGGAGCCCCCCCTGGGTTTGCTCCCTGGGGACAGTGGCTGAGTTGAGTGACTGCTTTGTCACTGGGTGGCTTGTATGGTGGCTGCTGGCGGGAGAATTCCTGGACAGGGGACTTGGGACGGGGGAGGGGATCTGGCTTCTCCTTGGTAGGGGGTGGGAGGTCCAGACCAGACAGGAGCTTTGAAGGTGTGAAGGTGTGCGTCTCCCCTCCGGCCCCCTGGGAAGGGGAGGGCAGGGACAGCGTGTGGATAGCAGGGCACAGCCTGGCACTTAGCAGACGCTTAAGAGGCGGACGCCAGAAGTATCTTATTCTGTTAGTAAGTGTCGTTGTCTGTGGGGCAGAGAGGGAAGGCAAGGCGCACTGCAGTGTGGACCCAGGCATTTGGCTTAAGTACCTTCTCACTCCTGCTTGCTCCTCCTGCCCCCCCCCCCCATCTTCCGGAAAGGGACGTTGAGGCAGACCGAGTTCTCCCTGAAAAAGCAGATCGTCTTCTGGCTTGGGGAACGGCTGATGCCTTGAGTCACTCGCCTTGTCTGGGGCGTGCTCAGGAGGGAAGTGAAGGTGCAGCAAGTGCTAAACGGAGACGTTTCCTGATCCGTTCTCAGCGCTCAGCGCACGGGTGTTTGTGGCGCGTGCGTGGCGCTGCCTTCTGGGCACACGAGGGTCTTGGCATGTGCTTTGCTGGCAGCCACGGGACCAAAGATTTTAGCCGGGATGCTGCACTTGGTATCACCTCCGCTGGAAGGTACCGCCTTTTAAGGCCACGGTGAGGAAGACGCTAACTTGAGGCCAATTTGCTGAGTGGAGTCTTTCAAAGAATTTCACTTAACTTGTCTGCATGGCGGGACCCAGGAGAGTGTGCCTTGCGGATGTGGTCCCCACGAGCAGAGCACACGTTTTCTTGACCATGTCAGGTGTTTTTCAAAATTAAAAAAAAAAAAGCGTTTGCCGAGAGGGCTAGACTTTTCAAAATGGTCTTTTAGAGTGTCCGCGAGAAGGAGTCACAGGATGCGAGACATCAGCCCCTGGTCGCCGAGCACTGGGAACATGTGTGCGTTTTCCTTCCCACGGCCTGATTCCTTCCTGCTCCCATGGAGATAGGGAAGCCGACTAGCTTGGGAGTTCAAACACTGCCTTTCTGTCTGCTGAGCTGCAGAAACAAATCGTTACGTGTGAAATTAATGGTTGAAACCGCTGGGCATCACCTTCGAGAAACCCAGGACGGGCTTCGGGCTCTGCTCGTTAGCTTCGGGGATCACTTCCCTCCAGCCGCCCTCAGAGGCGGAGGTGTGATCTGAAGGTGCAAACCGCGTGTTTATTCTGCTTATTTGGAGTCGAGCTCACCTGCGTGCCTTCCCTCCCCCGCCCTTGAACTTCCGCTTTGATGCATTAATTCACTTGAACGTGAGCTTCCTGGAGCCGGATCTGGTTCGTTCGGTGTTGTCATGTTTACGAGCCGATGGGCACCTCTCGCCCGCCTCTTCCGGCCCCCTCTCGTTTTCCACATCTGCTCCTTGCCGTGTCTACGGGGTTGGAGATGTCGAGGAGGGCTGCGTGCAGAGGTAGTTCTGAACTGATTATCTGCCTTCTCTGCTCCAGATCAGACACACGGAGCTTTTGAGGGTGCGAATTGGGTCACGACGAGTTGCCAGAGGTCAAGTTTCTCGAGGGCAGGTGTATTGTCGTGCTGGACTCCCATATCAAAGCACCGTATCTAAGTGCATTTCCTCATGGATTGGGAGGCTGGGAGGCTGGGATCCAGGCGCGGGCAGGGTGGCTCCCTCTCAGGTCTCCCTCCAGGGCACGGACATGGCCCTCTTCCCCCTGTGTCCCCACATGGCCGACCCTCTGTGTCCCAATCTCTTCTATAAGGACACCAGTCAGGTTGGAGTAGGGCCTGCCCTCGTGACCTCATTTTAACTTAATTTTAACCTTTTTAAAGATCCTCTCTGCAAATACAATCATATTCAGAGGTACTGGGGGTTAGGACTTTCACATATGCATGTTTTTTGGAAGGGGACACAGTTCAGCTCATAGCAGCAGGGAAGGGGTCCCTGTCACCTTTTCGTTCTCTGCCCTTAATGGAGTGGAGCTCAGAGTAGGACAGCGGGAGAGATGGACTGGACATCAAAGCTAGCATACGAGGGGCGAGTGCCATCTTCCCTGGTGGGGAAACCACGGGAGGCTGCATGGAGGAGGTGGTATCAGAGTGGGCCTAAAGAATGAGTAGGGGAAGCATCTGGGAGATGGAGAAGAACCTTCCGGCGGGGAAGAACAGCTTGGGCAAGTCGAACTCAGCTCCTGATGGACCCGAATGTGAGGCCAGAGAGCCCATGGTTTTGTTTTCGGGTTTTTAAGGTTAAAAGCGTTTCTTTAGAAGGGCTGCAAAGATTGTATGCTAATTGGAACAGCTGGTTGTACAAGAAATGACTCGAAAATTCCCTTTTGCTATCCCCCCAGCACTGGCTTCCATCAGACATGCTTTGTTCTTTCTACAGAGCTCTGACCTCAGACAGACGGAGTCGGGCAGAATCAGGGCTTAGGCTCCCTCCCGACGTGGCTGTGCTGCAGGCAAGGGCCGCGCGGACAAGCCGGATTCTGGTGGTGCCCAGGGAAGGTCGGGGCTGCGGGTGATCCGAGGTCCTTCCAGGGGGTGCCCCCCACTCCTGCCTTCTCGCCTCCCACGCATCCGTGTGCTTTCCTTGTGAGTGACGAGGCCCCTGCTGATGGGGCTGCGGAGGGGCCCCGGAGGGGCCCCGGGGGTGAGGCCTCTGGGTGGAGGCTGGGAGAGGAGGCTGCTGTGATACCGAGGCCTGGGCCAGCCCCCCTCCCCGGGCTCCCTGGCTTCCCGGCTCCTGGCCGGCCTCCAGCGGACAGAGACTGTAAAGGCCTCCTCATACAGCACTTCCGGTTCTTGAAGGAACAGGTCCAAGTCCGGTGACCCAGCTGAGCGTAGCCTTTGTCCGATGGCTGTGGTCTCGTGCTGGCAGCTCCATGCCTTCCTGGAGGTGACCTTGGTGGCTCCAGGGCGCAGGGTCTTCTGCTCAAACCTGCTGAACGTTCGTGCGATATTTTGGAATTCCAGGCCACCCCGGTGCGGGCCTCCCGGCCTTCTGGGGTGGGGACTGCACTGGAGAGAGAGTCCTGGCCCACGGGGAGGCTGAGCTGTGGCGGGCCGGCCTGTCGATGGTGGGCGTCTGGCCAGGTGAAGTACTTCTCTGTCGTGGCGGCCGTCGCCAGGGGCGGCCAGCGGCCACCTAGGGGGAGGCCCCGGCGCACAGAGGTCAGGGGCCACGGTGACCAGTGCTGAGTGCCCGTCACATTTGCTGTCAGGGCGAGGGCTGC